AGCAAATTGCCATCTTAAGATTTGAAAAACATTGTTGGATCTTTCATAAGGAAGGGATTTCCATAAGGCAAGGGTGGTGCAGAACTGGTGCAGAGCCAATTTTGTCGAATTCATCACTTTCAACGAGTTGGTCAGCATTTCAGATTCAATATAAATGGGTTACACTGTGGAATTGATTCTGCAAGCTGAAAGCTTGCATGGAACTTCACATTTTTGGGGATTATTTTGAAGAATTGCTTCAGAATACGTAGGACGGGTTCCTACGCACCACCTTGCGTGCCACCGTCGATGGTTCCTCACTGCTTCTCAAGGCCCGTATAAGTGCCAACGAAGGAATTTCTGAGATTTGGCAGATGTTTACGATTCATTATTGAACAGTGAACGTTACTGCATTTTTGGCTTCCTTGGAATTGTGGCGTGTTCATTTCTAGGCAACTCGAAATCGCTGTCGCCGTAATTTTGGCGCACCCTGTAGATTATCGACCCCTAGGAGTTGAATGGTAAAGGTTTCATAACATAAAAAGCCTTTAGCTGACCCCTGAGAATCGATTTCAGGGTGTCCACATACTTTTGGTACGCACTGTATAGCCTTTCAACTTTTTTTAGTTAATACTAAATGATGACGAACGATGCACTCATCCAAAGCAGAACGACCGGCCGTGGAAAACCTCCTTAGCAAGTATTAGGTTGTCCCATAATTAGTGAATCACTTTGGGTATTTTTGAATTCAATTTTTTTCTTTTTATGTGGAAGTCTTTGCTCATCCAAACATACACCTCTGTCATCTACAATGTATTGCCTATACAAGGAAATTTAGTCGCTGTCTTATCTCTAGAATTCCAGGAGCTATTGATCGAAGAAAGATCGGAAGTCGAGTTTGAGGTCATGTCACTTAGCGTAAAATTTCTTCCTGGGGAAGAGCGCTAGAGGTCAGACTGAGTTGTCTTTGTTGGCACGAGGATAGGGCCACACAGAGGAGGTGAAAGAACTGCTAGCCTGGGAGTCTCCAATTTTTTATGAATATTCTCCGCAAGGTGGGGTCGAACGACCTCAGGAAAAAAGCAGACTTTGTCTTGCTTTACTTTCAAATTGAACGCGTCGCCATTACGCTGTAGATGTTGATCTTCTTCAGTGACCCTAGTATTACTGGGCGGCGGTTCCCAGCGCAAGGTCACTCTCGTGCTCCACCAATATCTCGGAAGGGTCGGACTAGAAGGAGGTTCGGCTTTTGCTGTCAGAACTCCCGAATCGTTCATGCTAGGCTACTGCTCCTTGGAGATTTGCTAGTACACTTCACCCAGTCCAGAACCCTGGTGAATATGCTGGATGATCACTGTAAGGAACTAAGGGAGATCAGAAGGAACATGATGATGTCAGATCGTGTGTGGAGCTGTTTCGGGCTCAGAGCATACAAGATACAAACTAAATATTTTAAAATCTTTACAACTCTACGTAGATGTCTACATTCCATCATTTTAACAAGTCGGACATGCTCTAGCAAATGGCGACTAGTTTGTCCAGATCCACCCTCAGTGGCGCTGGGTACAGCAGTGAGATTGCCAGTTGAGGGGTAGTTGGAGTGTGGGTCATCTTCAACTAAAAAAGCCAACCTCTCGATAGAGTGAACTACAAGCAGACCGTGGATTGAGGGAGCGTGCCCTCGCCTATCTGCTGGTTGATTCTCTATGTTGTTGGGCGTTTGAAAGATCCTAATCAGAAGTGATTAAGAAGGGAGCTCAAAAATAGGTTCCAGAAAAATTGAAATATCAGCCACGGAAGGCAGCATGTACAGTAGCGGTCAAAAGTCTTCGCCGAAATTGTTTTTCGACTGTAACTTTTTTTCCGCTGAATCAAATCAATTCAAATTTTAATATGTTTTAGAGATAGTCCTACTTCACTTAAACGGCATATTTGTTTCGGATTGAGAAAGAATTAAGAATGGAAAAAATCATTTCACTAGAAATTCTCGCGTATGAGCAAATTCCAAGTAGGTTTCAAATTACTCTAGCAAGCTTACAATTCAACAAAACAATAGGCCTAAGTAAGGAATCAGTCATTGAATGCACTGTCTACTAGGGCAGCTTCCTCCACTTCTCTTGAAATTTGACGAGTTTCTCGCCCATATTCCCGGCTCTTATTTCCACCAAAGGTATCCCTACTCTTTCCCATAATGTTTCGATGGCGCTCGGGACATTGGTGTGAATTGTTCCCTTCGTTGAAAGCGCGCCATGCTGTCGAAACCAATCCTTCACAGTGAAGGTGCGATGCTTTTGGTCGCTCTATAGCTAGAAGGCGAACTCAGTCACGTACAGTTTCATACGAGCGGATAACGAAACTCTCAGAATCTATCTGATACGTCGGCATCCTCCACTTCTCTAATCCTGTGCAGTTGTAAAACTTCTTTTACGGACTACCACACGCGAGCCTCCGCCAAGTTTTACATACGGCAGTTAATTCCTTGGATCGAAACGTTTTTCCTCAGGACCGCACACATTCCTATTTCAGTCGCCGGCAAACATCTTGAATTTACTCTCGTTGGTCCGCAGGACGTTGTAGCCCTATGGGGATCCCCACTTTAGGTGTGCGTAAGCACATTTCGCCCCCGACCAGTTCACCGCCGACTAACTTCGCAGTATTCGCAATCATGTGAAGGCAGCCTATACAGTTGGGTTCTAGAAGGAGCTCTTATCCACGTGTATGACAGCTGCCCGCGACTGAGCTCGCCTTCTAGCATTAGTGCGACCAAAAGCATCACACCTTCACTGTGAAGGAGTGGCTTCGCCAGCATGGCGCGCTTTCAACGAAGGGAACAATTCACACCAATGTCCCGAGCGCCATCGAAACATTATGGGAAAGAGTAGGGATACCTTTGGTGGAAATAAGAGCCGGGAATATGGGCGAGAAACTCGTCAAATTTCAAGAGAAGTGGAGGAAGCTGCCCTAGTAGACAGTGCATTCAATGACTGATTCCTTACTTAGGCCTTGTTAGTATTTCAGCGAACCCAGAAGATCATTAACAAAGTATTGGACCTGCCCAGTGTTATTCATCATGCGTAAGATTGTTTTGTTGAATTGTAAGCTTGCTAGAGTAATTTGAAACCTACTTGGAATTTGCTCATACGCGAGAATTTCTAGTGAAATGATTTTTTCCATTCTTAATTCTTTCTCAATCCGAAACAAATATGCCGTTTAAGTGAAGTAGGACTATCTCTAAAACATATTAAAATTTGAATTGATTTGATTCAGCGGAAAAAAAGTTACAGTCGAAAAACAATTTCGGCGAAGACTTTTGACCGCTACTGTATAATGGGCTAATTCTCAGGTGACTCATGTGGATGCTACTTCGCAAACATGTTTCACGCCTTCGCCATGTTTCTTCAGTTTTTTATAGCAATAATTGTAAAGTGATTTACTAATTATGGGACAACCTAATGGTTAGGGATTCTTACTCTTTTGGCTCCATCGCTTCATCTCAACTTCCTGGCATCAATTTTTTCATTAATGCTATTACTTGGATAACTTTGTGTGCTCGTATTCTCATCAGAATAATCTTCAGACATTGTTGCGGAAGGCTACATTGGCAAATTTGTGGTGACTCACAACTTAGAACGTGGGTTGCGTGTACTCTACTCAGTGAAAGAGCACAAATTTATACCGCTACACGGTCGCTACAAAATCTTCGTTTTCAAGGTTCTAAGTAGAAGAACTCCCCGAATTCCAGTTAAAGCGAGGGATTACGATAAGATTGGAGTGGGTTCATTGTGGAAACGGAGGTGCTAAGTAGTGCCAGTGGCGAAAAAAGCAAAGAAATTTGACGAGAACGCGCAAAATGGGACCCCTTCCTTGCGTTTACCTCCGAGCTAGCAACCAACTGAGAGGTATTTTGCACATCGTATACGATAGCCACCAGCATACTGCACCATGCTTTTGAGTGGTACAAATTGAAGGCAGGGTATAGTAGTAGGAAGAAAGATCGCGCACTCACAGCGGAATCCTCACAAAACGATATGAGCGATGCGGCGGGGGCGTGGCAAGGCCCGTGGGAGGGAGCTCAGAAAGGATGGTCAGGTCCAGTCGCTGCAGTAGGCATCTTGGAACACAAAGCGCACATTCGCTTTCCTTGACTCCCATGAATTACTGCCTCTGGGAATACCCTAAAATCCCATAGATAAGAGCGGTTTAATTTACCGGTGAAAAATGAATTGGAATGAAATTGAAATTGAATGCAGTCACCCCTCTAACTTGATGGATGGATAAATAAAAATCGGAGAAGAAGTTTAGAAGAAGCTCCGTCCCTCAACTCTAAACCCCGCCCACTTAATAAACAATTCATATAGAAAAATAGCGATTTTAACGGAATTTCTGCCGGAATCTCTCTAGAAATGCCGGAATTTGATCTCTGGATAGAACTTGAAGAGCCCATTCGATCAGTAAAATTCCATAGATAAGAGCGGTTTAATTTACCGGTAAAAAATGATTTTGAAAAAATATTTTTATTTTTATTTTATTTTTGAAAAAATATCTATGGACCGCTCTTATCTATGGGATTTTAGGGTACTTTCACGCTGCACACATTCTTCATCGCAATCTCTCGCTTTAACCGAACGAACCGCCGGTAACAAGAAACTTTTTGTTAGCAGGTTACGTGAAAGCTTTGGAATTTGTATCCGAAAAAATAATGGAAATACAAGTAAGTAAATGCCGCATTCGCAAGTCGCATTCATAAACAATACTTTTCAAAGTGGTTTAGGAAGGAACGATGAGGCATTTGAAACAGAAGTGAGAATACACGGGATAGCGAAAACCTGTATACAAAAACACAAAATTGAATGAATCATCAAACCAGCAATACTCGTAACAGTGAAACTCACGCCGTGAAATAGCGTCGTAGTAAACGCGGAGCAAGCTAAAATGAGATCAAAATCTCGATCAATCATACCAATATCGAACTAGTCATGAAATCATACATTGCCTATGAACGACCAACAGAACAATAGCTTTTAGTTATTATCGTAGCATTTCTTTGTTGGAGAGCTCAGGTGGTCGTCTGGATTTTTCGTGTGCTCTTCTGGTTGCTTCTCCTTCGTGAGTGAATCATTAGATCGAAGTCGACCGGTGATCGCGATCACGACGATGTTGAACAAGAAGATGACAATTTCAACAGCTGTCAAAACGGAGGCCCCTGAAAATCCACATTCGAAGGCTTCATTTTATGACGACCTTCTATCCTATCCCTATTCTGTCTTTCTATCCGAGACCTCTACAGTCAGGTTACAGTTGCAGTAGAAGCCGTGGACCAAAATACCGCTACTTCAGAGTCATTTGACAGCATGTCATGTACCTCATAAGCGCAAAAGGGCACTTACCGAGCCACAGACCCATTTGTCCACCGATATCCGACACGAGGTTTACTATGGAATAGGACTCAGACTCGCGAAGAACTTCGTAACTCATCTGCTCATAATAGATCTCCAGCATAGCAGCGTGCCTACTGAAATACTTATGTTAACGTATATTTGTAGAGGACCGGGTACAGTGGACACAAAAGGGCACAGAAGCTCTGATGCAAGTCAAGTGAACTTATGTTTTGCGTTATTTATTCACCGCTTTTGAAAAAAATGAGCTGCATTTTTCAAGAAATTTTTCCACGAAAACAGGTTTCGCTACCAATTTACCCTAAGGAAGGTTTAATCCAGGAATTTCAAATATAATGATACTTATTTGGAAGGAAAGCACCCGGGCCTCACCCTAAGGACGTCGGTGTTACAAAATTTGTTCGGCGAAGAAATTTGTGGGGCGGGCTCTCAGGATTTTCAACCCAAAAGATTGGAGCGTTCGTGTTTATAAGATTCAGTTGCCCTGGGAACACGTTTTCAGCGAGTTTAGCCCTAGGCGGCGAATGTGGCACTGGAGCAGAATCGACGGTGCTCTTGGTGAATTTCATATTCTGTACGATCCTCACTCATCGCTTTGAAGGAAGTTCTTCGTTTGACTCTCCTTCTCCAATCGAGACGGAAATGTGAAGCTACTGAGGAACTGTCTAGAGAAAAATGTTGAAAAGAGTCGTGGTTGTGCGCCTGCTAGATGAGACACGTTATTTTTCAGAGCGAGGCATGGTGCAAATTATCCGGGCATAATTTCCTTCTACATTTTTCAGATATATTTGAAAACAAGACTTTTTTCGAGCATCATTTCAATATTCCCGATTCTCAAAAACTCACACTGTCAGAAAGCAATCAAACGATATTCTCTTGAAACAGCAGGAATTCACAGTTTCTTTGTTGAATTCGCATAACTTACCTTACGTGCGCTCATCACGCTTTAGATAAATTTCAAAGGATCATATGGTCCTCTTCTAACAAGTGCTGAAACCTTTCAGAATTTCATGACTTCGGAGAGTAGTACAGTTGGTAAATTTTTTGCGCACATGCGAGCTTACTTCAAACGATCACAACTTCTATGCAAGCTCTCTATTAACTCGAACACAGTCACGTAAAAACGAGATTTGAGCCTGGGAACTAGTGCTGGAACTTGCTCGAGAGGACACATTTGAGCTTAAAATCGTCTTATTGGTAATTGTTTAGTGTAAGCCTATTTTTTGACGCGAGCTTTTGAACTTTACTGATCAGAAGCTTTTTGGGAATTGCTTCCGTGTAGAATAATAATTTCGCCGAGCACAACGATATTTGAGCATACTAAGAAGCGCTAATACTTGTCTAAAAATTGAATTATTGTGATCAGGCCTGACCCCAACACTGAAATTTTGAATAAAATCGAGATTGAATCTTGAAATCATTGCTAAAGCTTTCAGCCTCGCGGTCATTGCCGATATCGGCTAACCGGCTCAACACGTTATACGTGTGAGTGCTGAAAGCTATGGTACGTATACCATGAAAAGCTGAGTTGGAATGAAATGGTGCCCCGGTAGCGTAACTGGTAGCGCACTTGCCCGGAAAGCGAGAGGTGCGGGTTCTAGTCCCGCCTGGGGCGAAAGTTTTGTTCACAACCCAGCATTCTTGTGAAAAAATCGTTTTTTTCATTTAGCACCGCTTTATAAAAAAGCGCCCCCAATCATCGAGGATAGGTTTCCTCAATTCGATCTGGCTTATCGATGCACACCTTTACCCATTTTCCGCCAGCCTCCTGGCTGTTTTGGTATCTTGAAATCTTGGTCGTCAGTATCGCTCATTTCGATGCACGCCACGCCCACGTCTGGCGGTACTCCGCTTAGCTGATGTATACTTTATACTTCTTGAGATATGGCCCACCCATCCCACACTTGACTGCTCCCACAGTTACATATCCAAGGAACCCTTATTCGAAATAGAAGCCATTCTTTGAAACTTGCGAGATATAGGACTGAGGTTTTAGAATTTGAGAGGAATTCTCAACTAAAGGGATAATAAGCCCAATACTCTACAAAATAGAGAAAAAATGTAAGCGTGGGTAAAGTTGGACACAATTCAATTCTTGCCATGGCGGCAGCGTAACAGAAAGGCAGCTCCTGGAGGATCGACGAACACTCATTCCACCACACAAACATATTTCGCCAGAAAAAAAATGTGGCAAATAACTTCACTGTTTTTCAAAAATAATTAGATAGCTTATGCACCGTCCGGTCATCAAGGCGTTATCCAAAGATTTTTTTGAACTAAATTTTGTAGGATGCAAGACTAATGTTTTTTATGTAGGAAGCTTTTGTTGAATTCATAAGCTGTAAAGCGATCTATGCATACTTGTAGTACGAAGCGCAATCCTTTTCGTCGCATTCCATACGCGTACTTCCTGATGGCCATTTAGCTGCCGAATATGTAGTAGTATACACATCCTGTTGGCAAGCATGAGTACATCTGCACGACTTTCGCTTAACCATCCGAATACTCTCCGCCGACAAACATTTCTCCTAAAATACTCTTGATTTCACGAAGCTGCCACATTAAGAACTCAACTGAAAATATATATTGTGGACCGTTATATAAAAATAACTTTAATTAAATCAAATAATGATCGCAGCATCCTATTTATTCATATAATTCATTAAAATTAATGTATGCAGTACGAAGTTGGATTACATCCAAAGCAAAGAACCTGAAAAGGGTGTTACGGCCGTGTGACCATGGTCGACCGTCCGTTGTTCATTCCAGACCTGGACCCCCTCTCCCCACCCCGCCCACCACCTTCACCATCACTACGTATCTATCATTTTTGGTTCTGTGGACGCGTTCGACATGTTCCAACTCCGCATACACTACTCGTACCATAAATCAATTCCGTATTGGGGGGGTGGGTCGTTTTCACGAGGTACGTCAAGTTACAGTATCGAGGGATGTTTTTATGATCGAAGAAGCGTATTAGGGTGTTGGCTAAATTTTGAGTCTCGAAATCCAGCAAGGGGAGTGGGTGTGAGACATTCAAATATCTCACAAAACGGCAGATTCTGAGTTTTTATTCACACATCTTTCGTAAAGTTTTACCGAAACCATCAAAGATACGTTGAAAATGACCCTCCCCCAGAATCCACAAAACGACCCCTCTTCGACTTCACCTTCGTCATCCCCATACACTTGCTTGTTACCATTACACGCTCCTGAATAGTGGGCTTCCATATCAAGAAGATGAAGGACTTCGCATTTGTTGTCGCGATGGCGCAACTGTGACGATGACAAAGTGCAATCGCGTGGGGCGTGCGTTCTGGAGCCCTACCATATGGTTTGCACCGGGCGCGATTCATACACTCGCGACCACTTGCTCGATGCCAGAATCGCACCGGTACCCGGCGCAACTACCGGTTGCACTTTGCCATTCCCTTTGCTGGCAGCAAATGCAGAGTCCGACATCTACCTCAGTAGACTAGACACGCAAGTGGGGAGTTGGTTCGCCCAATGCTTAGTGCCCTTGACTCGGTTGCTTTTCCCATATAAAAGATATTATTGTCTTCACGGGAACCTCGGCTTGTGTCGGAGAAATTGAATAGAAACTACTTATATATCATTTCGAATATCGCAGAATAAGTTTTCACTCTATCCGATGGCTTTGGAAACCGTGGATCGGCGCATCTGCACTGATTGATTATTCGCTTTTGATAACAATTACGGTAACATCCCTAAAGCAGCCATCAATATTTTCCAAGAATAGCCGTCATGGCAATCACACTTACTTCAGGCTCATAACTGTAGTCTTTATAAATATAACCCAGTGGCAGCGGGACTGTCAGGATTGAAGCAGCCACCACTTGGCAAACGGGTTTACTTTCTCTGAAAGGCAATCAATCACAAGTGACTAATCACTTTGAAAATCCATCGATCCTTACAAGTGAAATACCAAAGAACATATGCTCCGTAGGACCAACCGAGTACCGAACGTGTCTGAAAGGCACCTGTCGGCTGGCCTGTGAAATAGTGATACGAATCTTCCGGTAGCTTCATAGAGGTCAATAGTTCCTACGAGTTCACGAAGACGACACTCAAGACATAATCCTGCAGAAGTGGTTCAGTGATTTTCCCAAGCATCGCCACCAGTCAAAATAGAGCAACGGTCAGGGTGTAGCATTGCACTTCCTAACTCTAGGATAAGCAGATTTTAATTAATGAAGGGCAGTTATGAAGCTGAAGGATTACTAGTGGGAGCGACCTTTGAGCTATCCATCTCATCATGAAGACATGGCAGATACGGTAGCCGCCAAACTTCAGAAACTTTCAAACTTTCAATCTCGCGAGGCCAATCAACAACGGAAATCGTTTAGGGTAAGATTCTATATAAAAAATTAAGCAATGAATACGGTGGTAACGCAAGTCCTCAGAATCGATAACCATGACTAGAACACAGAATTTTTACCGAAAAAGAAATGGCGCCTCAAAAGTTGGGAATTCAACAATAACAAAACTAATGCACAACACTCCCGAATACACAAAAGAATCACTACGCTGGTGGGCAGTGGCATAGTTAGAGATGCGACACGGGTTTTTTGTGAAGTTTATTTATTAATTATTTATGTCACACGCGGAAAGGTGCGCACATAATGGGGAACAGAGATTCGTGAAACTTAATAGTCCATGATAAAAAAAAATGATAGAGATAGAAACAAGAAAGCCAAAAAAGGAGGTGACGATGAAGGAACGTAATAACTTCGTAGTCATTGCAGAAAACAGAAACAAGCTAGATCGCAAGCTCAGGTCCTACAATGTATCCATGGCAATAAGGCGCGTAACTTTGCAACCATCGGAAATCGAATGAAGTCCTTGATCAATAAACGTCGTAATGTCACAGCTATGTGTATCAAAGCTATACAATCCATAACGCTTGAAAGAATTATCTAATCTGGCATCTGAGAGAATTACGGTAGGAAGTACCGGCATAACCATCGATGTCGAGATAGACTGCGCAGATGAGTCATATTCGTGGAAGACGGTGAGGGCAGTGAGGAGCGGCTGCTTCTGCTCATGGGGGGACATCCAAGAAATATTTTGCCACAAGATTTCCATCAACAATGGCAACCCGTGTGACGAAATCTTCAGTGATGTGCACCATGGGCAAAGTGACTCTTCTTTCTGGCCACCTCCCGTATGGCTTCGAAGAACGCAGTATAGTATGAGACGTACCCCTCGAGGAGACGAGTTTCCATGTAGCTACCAAGGAACACAACTCTCTTCTGCGCCGAGCTCGTCTGCAAGCCGGCCGGGGGCACACGACGGGTATGTACTATCTCCACGGCTGGCCCTTTTTTCAAGGTCAAGTCAAAACCCCAATTTTTTCTCGAGAAATCGCCTGAAGGAGTGAAACAGTGCTCTCCAGTGAGAGTCAGGTGATTCAGGTTCTGTCATTTTTCGACCCTGAATTTCAAATGAATGTATCTCGGCTTAAACCAAACCTTTAAGTTGATATAAAAACCATTCGAATGCGCTAACCTTCCGCTATGATAGCCGTTTTAGTGGGTGCGTTTGTTCAGAATGCTGGAGCTCTGGAGGCGATGAACTGAGGAAAGGTCGTTTCAGTATCGGGTTGCGTTTTGCTCTTTAAGGGAACCATCTAGGCCTCCGAAAGTGACGGTTGATGGCCACAGGTATACTGACCGTGAGTGGGATTTCTGCAGCACTCCTCCTTAGCTTAGCTGGCCCAACTTGTGCACGGTTGGTCGTGCGATATGCGTGTAAGACAACTGTCGGAAATGGGCCAGTCCCTTTATAATGGGAAATGCTGAGCTCGTATTTCGTTGTTTTTCTTGAATTTTGACATAATGTTAAGTTCACACCACAGCAACAGTTCCACCTGATACGGGAAGGGGGGGGGAACTTAGGCCAGCGCTGCTGCCTGACGAAGTTCGCTACGAACCCTTCATTAAAAGCGGCGAGCTAAGCTTAGGCACAGTTTGTAGAGCTCGATCGTTGTCGAACTGTTCAGCATGGCTTTGTGGGCTGTGGAAAAGTACTTCTTCCTCATTATTTGTCGCAAATCAGTAGAAAAGCCAATCGCTTTTGCTACATAAAACAAGCTAAAAAATGATGGACAACCCTTCAAATTGATGATTTGCCGCGGCACGCCCCTACCAAATTCTTCTGAATTTCCATAACTTGGCTCCACAAGCCATATACGTCTAGGTTGGGCAGAACCTCCTCAATGGCCCTGCGCAAATGCTGTAATCAGGGCCTTGGTTTAAAGGAATCTTCCACGGACCATGGACCAGTGGGCGGGACCGGAAGTTTTTGTGACGAAATGCATGGTAGGTACGGATCCACGTGTCGAAACGCACGAACGTGAACAGGATTCACTTCAAACCTTCCCATGAACGTGGATCCGTACCTACCATGCATTTCGTCGCAAAACCACTTCCGGTCCCGCCCACTGGTCCATGGTCCGTGGAAGATTCCTTAAATGGGTGGCAAGGTCCGATATCCGACCACCACTCTTATAATACCCAAGGCTATCGCTTTCGTTACAGTAACTTTTTGAACCACTGCTTCCTAACACATTTATTGGGAATCTAGGCCAAGTGCATCGGTAATATCTTGAACGGTTCCCGCTACTTTCGTTTCTATTTAAAGCTAGTAAAATAAATCGTGGCAACACTGCTCATTGAAAATACCGCATTCAAAGCTCTAGAAAAATTATAAAAAATGTTTTGGAACGACTGTGCTGATCATTGAATAGAGCATCGAGAGCTCTTCAAGGCAATATCCACATCGATAGCAGTTTCCCTAGATTTCATGTAAATGAAGCATCCAAATGTGGAGTGTTAGAAAACGACAGACCTTCTGAAACAGCTGATACTATGACACAACCTAGGTTACTGGTCGATATATGCACACAATGAATGCAGGAGTGGAAAGCGAAGCGGCCCAAAGCTAATTTCGTTTCCGCCCCTTTTTGTATTCAGGAAGCCATTTAGGAAAAAAAGTTTGATAAGTTTGTGCTCCCGCACGTAATGCCACACAAGAAACCGTTATGAAAACCTCACCTCAATGCCACGCAAGGAACCGTTATGAAAAGCTTAGCACGGCCGAGTTCCCTAAGAAGAGGAGAACAACCACGGACAACACGGACAACACCCTTTTTTGGTTGAGCATGTGCGGGATCGAGACGACTCGACAACTCGAAATATCATCTAGTTTTCTCGTGAAATCATTTTTCGTGAACTAGACGTTCTGCCTATGTATCCTTGACTGTGATATCACTGGAAAGTTTCAGTAACAGCGCTCTCGTAGAGATCGAACTACTGAGAAACGCCATTTTTCCTCTTTCGGACTTTAGAGTTTGATAAACCCCTCCTTAACATGAATCCACTTGAAAATTACACAATACTCTATGTTTGAAGAAAAACATGCGAACAATGGAGAAACAACAGGAATCATCATGAGGGAAACGGACGGTATCCAAACTTCTGATGCGCCCTTCAGAAAACCACATTTTCGAATATTGGTTTTTGATTCTGGCGAACTATGCTTCATATCGTATTCTCCACTTGACTAAGTATCTACTTTGGGTGTGAAAGAACTCCGTTGTTTTTAGCCTTGCTAGCTCGAAAATGAAGTTCCAAAGTTTTGACAGCTACTTTGCACTGCGCACCACGAAGGAGTAATTACTGCCAAACATTTCTTCTGTTAGCCATTATAAGCCGATATAAGACTCACCGTAACTGGGTCCGGCACGACTGCTGGCTAATACTCTGTCAGGATTTGCGTTGAAAGTGTAGCAGTTACCAAAGGATGGGTCGATGTGGAGCCTAAGGCAACATGCTTAGCAACAACTGCGACTAAAACGGACTTTGAAACAGATGAGTTACTTGAATTCCTTCTCGATATCGCACTGCATACTATTAAAAGAGCACTGCTTGATGAGTTCGGATTTGCCATATCCCAGAGCAGCACGTCGTTGCGGAGGCAGAGAAGACATTTTCAAAATGAGTCTGAACTATGGATGGATTGTCCGAGTCTCTTCATCTATCATTGAAAAAAACAGCAGTATTAAGGTGGAACAAGAAATTTTTCGCAAATCTCGAATATATTGTCGGAATCGGTCAGGAAATCGTTAATATTTCAATATTATCCGAAGCTATTTTTTGGTGGTCTACCTTCAAAAATCGTAATGGTAAGTAGATTGTGTACAACCCTATACCCAATAGGAGAAAGTGCGAGTCTCGGAAAGAGATCGATCACCGCCGAATGCCTTGCCTTTTCATACTTTTTTCGACCATTATGTGGGATTTATGAAAGATTGACATAATATTAGGTGCACGCATTATTTCGTACCCTTTGCGCGCAAACATTTAACTCAATAGCGACGGGTGGTCCCGTAAGCTCTACCGTATTGCCGTTCGGCTAATGAAAGCTTTAGTATACAGTGCGCGTCAATTTTATATGCCACCCCCTAATTTTTTCAGTTTTCCGACTTATTTGGAAATTTCGTAAATCGGCATAGCAACCATCGGTTTCGGCGTGTCGGAAAACTAGGAAGGGTGCCGAGGGGGGGGGGGGTGGTGTTGTTATTTTGGTTAACGCGTGATTTGATTTGCTCTGTTCTTTTGAAGAAAATGGGCCGCGTCAAATTGCTTATGCCATCCTAAATTTTCTTCAGAATTTCTCATGTCTCTAACGCTATTCAGCTATGGTGTGCATGTAATACAAATGAGGAAATCCTCGACTCATGCAATGCACACAAATGGTGAAGCATTTATAACTGATTAGTTCGGAATATTAGCCTTTATACTGGACGGTAGCAGCATGAAAACGCTTTATCAGAGAAACAGCTGTGTGCTCACTAGTACGATCGCTCCTGCTGCTTGTTGTAGAACTCAACGAGGAGTGTATCCAGGCAAAACTGGGGAAAATTGAAGTGCTCAAGGAACTCTTAAATTCTCATTTTTCCCGCTTCGAATCCGTGGTCACTTTTTTTGTGGTCTTGGCTCCTGCGAAGCTCGAAGCGTTCACGCTCACAAAGTCTCTTTTTAGAGAGAACATGACTCGTACCTACTACCGTCTGGTACCCATCACTGAACTCGATCGAAGTTTTCTTATCAAGGCGATGCAATGATGGCCCATGCCACCACTTCGGTGTCCCGTTCAAGTTACAACTGGCCCATGTCATCATTTTCGCTCGCTCGGTACGAAAATTTTTCCAGAGAGAATCCGACAAAGTTCGGCGATGGGTACTACGCGGATTGTGAGTGCAACTCATATTCTCTCTGAACAGAGACTTTGTGAGCGTGAACGCTTCGAGCTTCGCAGGGAGCCGAGACCACAAATAAAGTTGACCACGGATTCGAAGCGGGAAAATGAGAATTTAAGAGCTCCTTGAGCACTTCAATTTCCCCAGTTTTGCCTGGATACACTCCTCGATGAGTTCTACAACAAGCAGCAGGAGCGATCGTACTAGTGAGCACACAGCTGTTTCTCTGATAAAGCGTTTTCATGCTGCTACCGTCCAGTATAAAGGCTAATATTCCGAACTAATCAGTTATAAATGCTTCACCATTTGTGTGCATTGCATAAGTCGAGGATTTCCTCATTTGTATTACATGCACACCGTAGCTGAATAGCGTTAGAGACATGAGAAATTCTGAAGAAACTTTAGGATGGCATAAGCAATTGACGCGGCCCATTTTCTTCAAAAGAACAGAGCAAATCAAATCCACGCGTTAACCAAAATCAAACAACACCGTTCCTAGTTTTCCGACACGCCGAAACCGATGGTTGCTATGCCGATTTACGAAATTTCCAAATAAGTCGGAAAACTGAAAAAATTAGGGGGTGGCATATAAAATTGACGCGCACTGTAAGAACGTGGTTGGAATTTAAAAAAAAATCCCCATTTTTCAGGCGATCGAAGGAAGATTCCACGATGTCGGAGGTTCGAAGAAGGCAAACCATCTGGTGGAAAAACAGGCGGACCCTCTAACTATGCGGACGGACACGCAAATTGCAACGAAGAATGTGCCCGCAGCGATTCTAAGCAGATTCTAAGCGCCATCGAAACATTATGGAAAAGGGTACGGATACCTTTGGTAGAAATAAGAGCAGAATAAATAAATAAAATGGACCAGAAATATCTATCAGAAACTGGTCAAATTTCAAGGAAAAATGGAGGAAGTTGCCCGCGGTAGACAGTGCATTCATTGACTGATTCCTTACTTAGGCCTTGTTAGGATTTCAGCGACTCCAGAAGGTTGTTAACAAAATATTGACGTTATTTACCAGGCAGTCGCTTATTCTGTCGGATTGTAAGTTTTTTAGAATAATTTGAAATTTACTTACAATGTGGTCATACATGGGAAATTCCAGTGAAAGATTTTTTGCAGTTCTTACTCTTTTTCCTAAACAACTATATGCGAATTTTGTGAGAAAGGCTCGTCCCCAAAACATACCAAAGTTAGAACCAATTCTGATCAAGTGGAAAAAAAGTTACGGTCGAAAAAGCATTTGGCCGAATACTTTTGAGCGCCACTGTACGTCTGGTCTGCTGATCTCCACCAATCGAATGAAGCGATATTCTTATTTGCATAATATGGCTCTGCGTAGCTGTGGAGGGGGAACCGAGAGCTTGTTGTGTTTTTTTTTGTTATTAATGGTCAATTTTTGACGCATGCGCTAAATCACCTAATTGGCATCCGTAGCGATCTCAGCTATGACCTCCTATTTGAATTCAATGCTTTGAGTATGCGGCTTCTGGACATTTGGTTTGACATTTTTGGCCTTTGTGGCCACTCTCTAGGTATCGAGCCGAAACTTCTGCTTCGGAGGCCACAATACGATTCCATCGGATTAGGTTTATCCATTCCATTTGCAAAGGGGATGAGGGATGTTGTAAAATAGATAAGGGAATAACGTTTAGTGATAGTCAACTTGTAGAACAAAAGGTTCTTAAAGAAAAAACACTTCATTGCAGCTCATAACAAATTGATTCGAAAATGCTACTGCTCTGTATGAAACAAACGTTCTTCTTGAAGAAATAGAAAAAATAAGTCTACAAAATGTGCGTTCTCCCCGCCTTCTTTGCTCGACAAAGACGATTCTTTTTATGATAAAAACGAAATATTCTAACGAAAACAACTGCTTCTTGATTGTAAGGTGAAGCGGTAGCCAAATGGTTTGTGGGCACATGTGCCAGGAAAGCGATAGATGTGAATTCTATGTATTAATGCTTGACAAAGAAGCCAATCCCGCGTTCTTGTGATGGACAGATTTGTTGAACAGTTTCAAATTTCACCATGCTCATGCCCTCACTCTTTGGAGCGTACATATCTTCACATGGCTTATCTGTGGGATTTTTGAGTGATTCTTCATGAGAACCAGCCAGTCACTGTGTGCCCTCAATGGCACTACAATAGCTGTATTCTTCTAAATGTAGACTTCTCATTTATTGAATTCAATCAATGTTCACTTACTTTTCCTTCGCTCGAGTAGTTATTGCAACTTGGTCG